AAACTGCTCACCAGAGACTGAAGCCGTAGCTCTCATGGGATGATCAGTCTTGGCCCGTGCTCCCCTCTTCAATTCACTCACCCGTTCCTCCAAAACTGAAGTAGGTTTTCCATCCCACTTTGTCATGTCTTCTCTGTGATCCCATAGATAAAAGCATAGGGTGGCCCGTGGCGTACACCTCTTGTATCTCCTCTCTCGAACAGTAGGACGCCTTTTGTTAATAGCTGAGACGTGTGTTGGTACAACTGAGGAGCTGGATAAATCAGATATATTGTCCCTCAATTGTTTGAGATCCTGGGACAGTTTTTCCACAGCTGAGATGATGGAAGGGGCGAGTGAATCTCTCTGAAGGACCTGCAGGAACATCATAGCTAGAGGTACATAATCCTGAACCACATGATTTTATTTCTGGACCTTCCACCCTAAAGAGGTTAGCAGTAGCCAAAAGGCCAGTTAGGTGTGTTACAGCTAGAGGGAGGTCTATGATCTCCTGTCATGGAGCTGTGTGAAGTGCTTACAGACAGTGCTGCACTCATTTATTTCTCTGCTGTGAGACTAAGTTTCACTTGTGTTCTAAGGACCTGTTTAGAAAGAAGGCTACACCTTAGGCTGAAGGCTACACCTCAGCCTAAATTTGGGGTTAGATAAAGTAGGAAACTACAAACTCTGAGAATTGCTTATCTCTTAAAGGGCAATGCAGCAAAGCTGAGAACAGGTTTAATCCATCTGGCTACAGTTAGCCCTCTGGCAGATGAGGCTACTCTAGTGTTAAGGCTAGACCAAATGAGAGGATGAGATTATGTACAGACAGAATCTCAGTATCTCCTGCATTAAGAAGCAACTTGCCAGGTGAAAAGGGAAAAGGGATGAGGGAAGGAGCCATATTCTATATTGCTGAGGTGACATGAAGCATAAGGTTTCAGCATACAGAGGCTCAGTAGCATGATTAATGTGCAAGTTCAGAAGGTGACTTGCAGAGACCAGAGAGGACACCTGGCTCTGTGTATTTCTGGAACAACCAGGGAAGTAGGGCTTCAGAAAATATTTAGGATAGATGTGATTATGTTCAAAGCTAGCAGAGATCACTGACCTAAAGTATCATCTTGATCCATAAGGGGACATAGGTCTAACTTGGCGATTAACCCCAGGATGAATCATCTGGCAAACCCTTCAGCTGTTTAAAAGACCATGGCTGAGGCTGATGGCAGCATTACAGCCCAGGTCAGCAAAGGCCAACAAACTGAGGCACTGGCTGTGCTCAAAAGAGACTACCAGAACAAGATGGATAAAAGACAACTGATTAACTTAACCTTCAGATTGGAGCTGTATTTTAAAGTTAGTTGACAGAAAGCTGAGGTTTGAGCACAAGTATTAAGATTTTGACCAGAACGGGCCATTTATCTAATGTAATTACCTGTTTCAGAAAGCACATACAAGGTAGCTGGAACTTGGTCAGTCAAATGACACCTACATTTGCTTCTGAGGAAAATTATAGATCATGGAAGGCTTGCCTAGGACTGAGTTTATAGTTGGAGCTAGGATGATACTTGTTTGGAAAGGTAGTAGTTTATGCAATATGAGAAGAGGTGGCGATAGGAGCCAGTAAAGTACACACACATAGTCCAATATGAGACAGGTACTTGCTTTATTACAATTAGGTATAAGAGGCAAGTTAGGCACTGCGAATGAATTCTGGGCAAAATGAAGGCAATTGTGATTCACTTACATCCAAGAAGCCCCCCAGGTTAAACCAAGGAAATGCTTAAACCTTTAAGAATAAAGGAAGATCAAGATGGTTTTGAATTTATAGCACCAGGAAATGGGACGGAATTAGAATAACATAATTGCTACTAGGTTAATATAAGCGTACTGATCACACTAAGGATAAGCCTCAGCTAGAATTAAAAGAAAAAAAAAAACCAAACAAAAAAAACCCAAACAAACAAAAAAAACCAACAACAGCCAAACAAAACCCCAGAAGCCCTCACCAAACCCCACACCAACCGCAAAACACAAAAATACAAAACTCCTGTCACCCAACTGGTCTTAGTCAGAACTAAAAAAAGAAATGACCTTAAAATAGGGTTTCTGCCTAGCTACACCAGAAGCCCCCTAAACTAGTCTGGGCACTAAATGGCAGAGAGTAGTTCACGTCAGCCCTGATCTCAGGCTAGCACTCTTTACATTTATCCTTTCCAGATGCAATTAAGTGACATTTTCAGCAAATGCTCAAGTCTTAGCAGTAGTGTTATCTGTTTCTTAGAAGCTAAATTGGATGAAAACAACAACAAAAAACCACATTATAATACTGTCACAGTCTTTCAAATAAAGTCTTTCAATTTGCTTTTGATTTCATTCTCTTGGAATAATCCTTCTTTAACCCACAGTCACATCCAAAGCTAAGGAAAATCAAAGGCACACCAGTTTTAGGGTATCTCATTTTGGTTTGTGGATGTATTTTCAAAAAGTCCTTACAGAAAACGAAAGCATCATCCTGCAAAGGCTGTCTGCATTTGCAAACGTTCACTCAACCCTCTGAAAATGTGTGTTAATTGCACAATATTTTTTAATGATTTTGGAAGTCAGTGCTTCCTCACAAGTTATGTATGGATTAAGCTACCTTTTTCCTAAGCTTCGCTTTCAGTTCAGCCAACCAAATAATGCCTCAATCAGTTCTGATGGTTTCCAATCAGTTCTGCAACACACACACAAAAATTGCCAATTATTGATGTTTGGATGAATTTGCAAATACTCCAACACTAAAATCAGTGTTCAGAATTGCTCAGATAGTACATTTGTTAAAATTAAACTCTTACTGTAAATAATGTAATAAAGAGATATATCACTACTACTCTTCCTTGAAGGATGAACAACGTGTAGTTAAATCCAGCCAAATGAATAAACACAAGCCGGGGGGGAGGAGGAGGGAAATGGATTGTTGGAAAGGGGTGGAGGAATTTCATCTGCTCTTGCAACTGATTATGTACTTGACAGACATTTCTCTTGACAAACTTTATCAATGTGACAAATACCCCCAAAATATTATGAAAGGAATGAAGTTTATTAAAATGTATGGATCATGTTACCTTTTGTAAATGGGCATTCATCCTGAAGCCACTTCTGTCTGACCTGACAAACAAATCCCCTAGAAACAAATCTACAAGAAGAAAAACTAGTTCTCTATACGAGCAGTCAGGAGGGTGGCATTAGAAGAGAAAATGCTACTTCTAAGCCTAGTACAAGTTAATCAAGCACTTGTTGAAAATGTCATTTAATAGCATGTGATATACTGGAAGTTGATAAATCTTCATTTGGCTACCTTGGTAAGTTTAATGATATACGCTAAATTTTCTCTGTGTGTGTGGCATATTTCTGCACATTTTTAAACACTGTAATTCTTTTACAAATATTTTGCAGCTTTATTCTACTTACTCATAAAAAGCAACTCATGAATACTCATAAAGAAACTAGTAAGTTTTGACTTTTTTTTTTAAAGCAGCTTATTAAACTGAAAAACAAAAAAGATCCTATTTTTAAATACAAGTTTTCTATGAAAAGATGTCTTTATTCTTTCTTACTTCAGCAATGAAACACTATTAACATGAATATCTGGAAGCTCCATGTCAAATTACAAAATTCTGCACAAACAAGAGGTAGTTATTAAAAAGAAATGAAAAATAAAAAGCAAATTATGTCTGGCCAAACAATGATCAGTTTGATGCAACTGCACTTCACAAAAGTCTCAAAAGATTAACAAATCTCAGAGCAATGGTGCATATGCAATCATATCTTTGCTCAGAAGTAGAAAATAGTAATCATTTGTCATTATTGTTATTCATGATATGTCTTGAATGTGATTGTTCATTCTAGTCCATTTTAAAAAGCATGTGAGTTAATTAGCCCTTATCTATTAAAGAGGAATGAATAGATGATAATATATTTGTGGCTATTCACCACAGTTGTGAAAGAAGCCATTTCCATCATAAAGATATGTTTTTTTATTCCTGTAAGCATCTGAATGCCAGTCCTCTAACAGCTGAGGAGTTTGTAAAAAGCAATACTTTGAACTTAATGAAAGAATTTATTTCTAGTGCCTTTATAAATCAATCTGATGGGACTACATAATTAGACAAAAGTCATATTCAATATGTGATGTTCAATAGCTCACAAAAAAGTCAACATACATTTGAATAAACTCATTCTAATAAATGAAAGTCCCCAAAAGAAGCCAGCAACCATGAGAAGATTTAAGATTCCTCTTAGCAAACAAACTGAATTAAATAATAGATTGAAGAGGCTGAAATAATAATCTTCAGCTATAACTTAAAATGTCATCCCAGTTTTAGAGAGACTAGTCATCAAAATACTTTAAAATACAGCTTAATGAATCACAGAACATATGATTATTTACTGATCAATCAACAGATTACTTTGATTTGTTGCCTATATAATGTTTACTACAAAATACTTTCCTGATGAAAAAAAAAAGTTATGAGACTCACCTTACATAAATGCCAAATTGCATTTGCTTAAGCATTCAGCAAGTAATTAGTATTGTACATAAATGATTTGCAACAATTAGGAGTCCAGAGAGCTAGTGATTTCATTTTTATCCCACATACAGAAGTGTCATAAACTCACTTATTGAGGGGGGAGTGGCAACAAGAAATTAGGTGGCAGAGTTCCTAACTACAGGGTTACTCATTACTGCCTAATTCATTCTATTGACTGATGCTGACACTGCTTGCATACTCAGAGTTAGCAGCCACTTAAAACATTGTTTGCTGAAATTGGGTCCTGAAACTGTTAAAACCTACATTTAAGCAGGATTTGAAGTGTGGGCAACTGTTCCTGTGCTAGTGCACATATCTATATTATTTTGCTTGATTTTTTTTTCCATTTGCATGTTTTCCCATATAAAAATTCATGTGGCAAGTTACCAAGAGCTTTTTCTGATTGTGTTTCCTAGTAGCTATAAATCTTCATGCTGCAAATAAAGAATGCAACAACCAAGGTCTGGTTATTCTCCAGACCTGGTCGAGGAAACCTGCATTAGTGTGGAACTTCTAAACAGGGAAGCTGATCTTCATAAGGAAAATGTTGCTTGTCTGGAAGCAGCAGTCCAGAAGATGTTGTCAGCTGCTGTGAAACAGGTAGTATCAGTTTGTATGGACACCACCATGCCTCCAGACAACTACATTCAAAGGCGAGGCTATACAGAGCCTTCACTTCTGAAGCTTCCTGTAGAGGAGTCCATTGGGAGTCAGCACACACCCTTCCAGTTTGACCGGCATGCTCTGGCCAGAATTTCCACTTCTCAACTTTAAGACGTCTAAGGATGACCTCTGCTTCAAAAGCACTGTCATTCCAGGACTGTTCTGACACAGCTCAGCTAGGGAATCTAAAGGAATACAATAGCTCTCTCCACATTTGCAAGAGTCCACCTTGGTGTACTGCAGCTTCCTCATTGTCGTTGCTTTCTTGTGTTCATGAAAAATTACTGTCTTCCAAAGCCAAGTCTGAAACAACTATTGCAAATCTGCCAGCCCCAGATCAAAACTGCCAAGCCAAAAAGGTCCTCTCAGTAATGGCAGTACCAGTGAGAGACTCCAGAACTCTTGGAGAGCCAACTGTGCTACCCTTACTAGGAGAATCCCTAGTCCCAGCCCTACACCACAGGAAGATGTCCAGGTAGGAGAAATAGAATGATGCAATCTCCTTTTCAGTCTTGCATGTTCAGTGTTGGTCCATCATGGCCAAGAGTATAAACAAAATCACAGTTCTTACCATGAATTGCAGCCTGGCCTGTGCTCCTTTAATATAACAGACCGACTTCTGTGTTCATCAGGAAGGGAGATATTTCCTTCTAAATCAGCAAGAGACAGTGGTTCCAGACTTGTGTTGTGGTGACCAGGTTGGCCTAGTCTGCTCCTGCACATGGCCACTCTTTCTCACCTCTGTCCATTATCCCTGGTGGACCAGTATAACTGGCTTTGTGACTATGAAAGAACAAAAATAATTCACCCAGTTCTAGCTTGGGTTTTACAAGATTTATTTCCCAGGATCCTTCAGCAGGGCTCCTCCTAAAGCGGGGTAGCTCTCTATTCTGTTTTATTGTGCAGGATTATTAACCCTCCAAACCCCAAGAATGAAGCCATTCAAGACAGTTGAGCCAAATGTAAGGTTTCCTACTACCAAAGGAAGAGGTCCCATACCCTTTCTTGATTTCAGCTTACCTCTGCCAGCTCTGTCACTTGCTGGCGCCCTTCAGTTTTAAGTTCAGCTCCAAAAAAAAAGAAAATACACTGGTCCAGCAAGTGCCAGTGTCAGTAATAAGCAAGGGAGGAGCTAGCTTACTAGCTTAGAAGCTTACTAACTTATAGTTTTTCTTCTTTCCCTAGAAGTAAATTACCATTCAGCTATCCCCCATAACTTCACTGCAAGGACAAAAGGAGAGGCACCACAAAAGCCAGATTTGCTGGCAGATCTACTCTCAAAGAACATATGTTACTTGCACAAGTAGTTGAATTCAGACATATGCTTGACTCTGCCCTTACACAAAGCACCTATGTACATTTCACTGAACTGAACTGGATGGTGTCAAATAGGTGAATAGCTCTTTATTAACTGGGTACTTTTGTGCCACAGACCAAAAGCTATTTCCCCCCTCCTTCAAATATAGAAAACATTCTGGAGATCAAAAGATTTCTCCTTTCTCCGCAACAATAAAAATAACAAACCAATGCCTAAATCTATGTAGTACATTCGTCTTAATGAGTACCCTTTTTCTAATGAAGTCAGACTGCTTGTTTGCTGTCTGACCAACTAACAAGAATATCTCACTTTCTTTCAGCAGTGTAGATTGCCTATACAAAGGTATGTGTATATTTGTTTTATCTTACCCTAAACGCTAAATTTCATGAGCTAGTTGTGTGCTGTTGGGAACAAGGCAAAATACCGTCAGACTTTCGTGACGCAATCATCGTCACTCTGTATAAGAAAAAAGGTGCCAAGTCAGACTGCTCAAACTACCGTGGTATAACTCTGCTCTCCATTGCTGGTAAAATTCTTGCAAGAATACTATTGAACAGACTAGTACCTGCCATCGCAGAAGAACTTCTACCTGAAAGTCAGTGTGGTTTCAGGGCTAATAGAAGTACCACAGACATGGTATTTGTTCTCAGACAATTGCAAGAAAAGTGTAGAGAACAGAATAAGGGGTTATACGTAACTTTCGTTGACCTCACCAAAGCCTTTGACACTGTGAGCAGGAAAGGCTTGTGGCTGATCTTAGAACGATTAGGTTGTCCCCCCAAGTTCCTGAAAATGATTATTCTGTTACATGAGGATCAGCAAGGCCAAGTCAGGTATGGTGATGCACTCTCTGAGCCTTTCCCAATAACCAATGGTGTGAAACAAGGTTGCGTTCTCGCACCGACCTTATTCACAATCTTCTTCAGCATGATGCTCCAAAGGGCTACAGCAGACCTCGACGAACAAGACGGCATTTATATTCGATATCGTACCGATGGTAGCCTATTCAATCTAAGGCGACTGAAGGCCCACACTAAGACCCTAAACCATCTTGTCCGTGAACTGCTCTTTGCTGATGATGCCGCCCTTGTCGCCCACACAGAAGCAGCTCTGCAGCGTTTAACATCTTGCTTTGCGGAGGCGGCTGAGGTTTTTGGGCTGGAAGTCAGCTTGAAGAAGACAGTAGTTCTCTACCAACCTGCACCCCAAGAAGATTATCGCCATCCCCATATTACCATCGGCGAGTCAGAGCTTAAGACAGTTCAGCAGTTCAGCTATCTGGGAAGCATCATTTCCTCGGATGCCACGATCGACAAAGAGATAGACAACAGAATAGCAAAGGCATATACAGCCTTTGGAAAACTCCATAAAAGAGTCTGGTGCAATAAACACCTGAAGAAAAGTACAAAGATCAGTGTCTACAGAGCCATTGTATTGTCTACTCTTTTATATGGGTCTGAATCATGGGTCATCTACCGTCATCACCTGCGACTCCTGGAACGCTTTCATCAGCGCTGCCTCCGTACAATTCTAAACATCCATTGGACTGACTATGTGTCTAATGTCACTGTCCTCGAACAGGCAGGGGTCACCAGCATCGAGGCCACATTGCTGAAACTGCAGCTGCGCTGGGCAGGGCACGTCTCTAGGATGAAGGATCACCGCCTCCCCAAGATCGTGTTTTACGGTGAACTTGCCACCGGTAGCCGCAAGAGAGGTGCCCCAAAGAAGAGATACAAGGACTCCCTGAAACAATGCCTTAGCCTTGGCCATATTGACTACCATCAGTGGTCCACCTTGGCCTCCAATCGGGAGACTTGGAGGCACACCATACATAATGCCGCTGACTCCTTTGAGAGTTCACGAAGAACTAGTCTCGAGGAGAAAAGACAACACAGGAAGAATCGTGTCCCACCTGTTCCACCCAAGGAGACCTTCTGCTGTGCTTTTTGTAGCCGGATTTGCCTATCCCACATTGGCCTTCTTAGTCATCAGCGCGCCTGTAGTAAGCGTGGGTAAATGCCCTTCCCAAATCTTCGTTCGAAGTCAAGCCATGACTTCACCCTAAGACAAAACTGAACAATGAGGCATATGTGTAACTCAACTTCATAGATAGGCATTTCACAAAACCAATCACTAGCTTGTTAAACTAAACTTTTTAATGAGATTTTCTTTCAAAGCTGGCCCTCTCCCCAACATGCTTAGCTATATTCCAAGCAGTATTTCAGCTGGACCATTATAGCTCTGCATTAAGAGCTAAATGCCAAAAGGTCTGGCCGTTTGGATTAACAGTGTCAAGTTTCTGCTTGAAGAATGTTAAACATCTCGTAATCTTGAGCAACTTTCTTCAAAACTTTGTGGGAAGGAAAATGGGAGCAAAGGAACAGAACAGCTCAAAACTGTTCTCATACATGAGCAAAGCAGATCTAGGTCTGCTACTAGATGGGGAGATTGTTGATCCTCCAAACTAAGAAGAGTTCTTGAATTTTGCAATTCAAGTGCAAGCAATATAAGGTGCTGCGTACCATAGATCTGTGCAGTGATTTCCATCAAGCTCTTACAAGCAATTGTTAGACAGTAAAAGATTGATTAGAAATTATTTTGATTCAGCCATGTTTGTTTCCTCCAGAAGTTCAAATGTTTACAGAAGGGAAACAAAGTTTATTTTCTTCCCCACACAACAAGGCAGTTGGAGCTAGTACCTCCCTTAATAGCCCTCCCTCTCTCACTGATGGTGCAGTGCTCACTAGATTGCATGATCCCCTTGAAGATTTCAGGTGCGTCATGCAGGTGAGTGAGGTATATTAAAAGCACAAGCACTGGTGAGCAAGTCTTGGCAAAGACAGAAGTAGCCCCACAACAAACACCAATACATTTCTGTGACTCTGCCATAAAGTATTTCACTAGTTAATGCAGTAAACATCATTATTTGAGCTGTATCTCCTCTTCTTCCCAATGTTTACTCATTTTTCAGGTAAAGGCTCTGTTATAACTTGCAGTTTATAAACAGATCTGTGTTTCAAGTACACTTATGTTTGGGACTGGGTGAGTTGGAGCAGGCTGATGCAGTCTATGAGCCATTACAGAAGGCAGCTCCCTAGACAAAGCTTAACAGATGTGTACGTGCATCTGAAATCATGTTCCCTGCAGAACAGGCCTCCTAGATTTTCTGAATTGTTGCAATTTCAAATCCGCTGTTTAGTATTTTTAATTAGCAATGGAGATTGAGAGAGGAGGGGAGGGAGACATCTTTGCACCTTGCTATGAAAACAGGTGATCTGTACCTATTATGGGAAGAATCTGCTCTGACCAAACTCAAAACTGTGATATGTATCTCACTGAGAAGGTGAAGATTTGTGTGATCTGTAGCAAACTTCAGGGATTTGAGGATATCGAGTGCAAATGGCTAAAGAGGAGAACACTGAACATTTAATGCCACTTGCCTGGCATCTTCAGAAGGAAGCCACTATATGCCAGCTAATATATTGGCTCTGGACTTTTATCCAGACATTTTAGAAATCAAGAAATCACACAAAAAACAACACAAGCTTTGTTGCATAGCCACCAACACAAAAGACTGACCAAAGGAGGTTTGGATGATGTTATCAGAATTTCTATTTTTTTTGTTCTGACTAATATTAGAATGTAGAAATATAAAACAAAAATAACCAGCATCTGTAAAAATAACCACTAATAACAAAAATAAATTTCTGCTTTAAGCTTTTTTTAATCAAGTTGAATTTAGTCCAAGGTCTGGGCAAAGGCTATATTCAGCTCCTTCTTTATCCAAACCATTAGTCTAACTCCTTAACAGCTAATCCCCTCTTATCACAGCCAGAGAAAACCGCTTGAAATGTCAGGTTATTCTCCCCATCTAGAATCACACTGAGACAGATGGCAACTGTCCTCCAAGACTGACTTATATATCATCCCAGTTAAAAATCGTACATCCATCCTTCAGTTTTAATGATTACCTCTTCTCCCCACTCCCAAGCTGTAGTTTCAAAAGTCTTTCTTAAAGCAGCAATGCTCTTATTAAACAGCGTTCCCACACACAGCCCTCAGTCAGGAACACCAGTACATCTCTGTCGGCATGGCAACATGCTGAAATGGTGCTGATTAAATATAATCAGCCAAAATAAATAAGCAAAAAAGACAGAGAGGTGTGGCTGGGACAAGACAAGATACTAAAGCCAATTCTGCTGTGGAAGGAAACACTGATAAAATAAAACCTTTACTCTGAGCTCATTTTCTCCTTGCAGCACTCAGTGTATCAGACTCACTGGAAAACTGGACTGCACTATTTCCTAAAGACAATCAACTAAAGAAAATTCCTCTCAGTAACTGACAAGGCAGCTCCTTTTCAGTTAATTGAGGGAGCTGGCCTCATCTATCTTAAAGTGCTCCTCTTCCTCTTTTAATGTGTCATATGCCTGTGAAGTGTCATACTAACTCTTTGAATCAGGAGTCCAAATACGCTCCCTGAATGACTTGGATGATATCTAACATCTATCTCAATACTGTGACCACGCTACAACATTGACCTTCATAATCTCTTCAGTTGCTTTTATTGTTATGTAGTGGTTATTTCTATAACTAACATACCTGTTATTTAAGTAAGATGATTTATACAGATGTCTGTTCCTTGGGACAGCCAGTTAGGCTAAGATTATGGATATATAGATACAAACCTCTAAAAGGCAATCAGCTGAAACTCTCTGTGCCTTACAAACAACCATATACACAGGATATTTATTTTTCCAGACCATGAGCTGTTCAGTGTCTTTAAAAACATTCCATAACTTTGTAATGCTAATCTATGACATTACCTTGTTTCACAAAACAAGTAGATTAAAGGAGGAATTGTTGCATTCCCCAGGTGCTTGAAGTCATCCCTAAAGTACAAGGGTTGGTTTCACTCAACACTTCAGTCCTCTGCCCCTTGTAAGAAAACAAAACAAACAAACAATCTAAAGAAAAGAGCAAAGCTATAGGGGCTGTAGGCATGAACAGGTTCTAAAACACTGCACATAGACTCAAAAACTGGCAAAGTTCATTACACAGAACTCCAGTATTTTAATTTCTACTGAAAAAAACAAGAAAAACATCTAACATATCTAAGACATCTAGACACCAGGCCAGTTGATAACAGATACCTGTACCTTCATCTGTGAAGCGTGAGTACATCATTTAGTCATGTACGCCATTAACTGGTCCAGGCATGTAAGATTGCAGAGGCATATTGTAGATACACATGCAAGTGACCTTGGCATGCTTCCACATATCACAGGCATGATTACCTATGTGAAGAGCTTGCTTAAACATATGTGGGTTTGAAGTTCAATGTTTTTTTCATCTAGGAAGATAATGCTATTTAATTCAGTCACAATGAAACTATGTTTTCCATTACTTATCTTCATAAGCCACTAGCCTCCAACTTCAAAATATATTCTGAAATTGAAGTAGGCTAGATACTTTAAAAAGCAATAATACATTGCCAATTTTTTTCTGTGATTCAAACCTGAAATAAGTCTCCTGAATTTCTTAGTACAGGAGTGACAACTTTTAAGAATTATCTTTGTATTATATTGCAGCATCTGGATTGTATAATAACTCAGCTGCCCAATACATTACATTATGGCATCACTGAAGGGTTCAGAAGCATCTTAATACGATAGCTACCAACACTTAAAATTTCCACAAGGTAGCACTCAGCGCACCTCATGAGGAAGTGGTCACCCTGCACTGGTATGGGCTTGCAGACAACTAAGAAACAGACCCCACCCATAAAAGATCTAACAAACCATGTGTTAGGTTCAATTTCACGATGAACCTCAGTCTCCTTGTAAGTCCCAGTTAAGCAAACAGATCCAATGTTCCCCATTCAGCAGGACTACCAGAAAAGGTAAAACTCCTAGAGAACTCAACCACTGCACATTGTAAACTCCTCAGCATGTAGTTTCCAAGCTGTAATATGCCCATATTTCAAGTGTTTAAAGTCCAAGACCTGGTGCCCCTGTTAGCCTACAACCCTCTCTGTTGTTAGGACCAGTCTTCCATCTATACAATTCCATTGGTTGAGCTAAAGCAACTGAAAATAATGTCACTGTCAGTTCTTAACAAAAAACATAACCTCTATGTCTTGCTATACATAGCAAATCCCAGTTCTTTCCATCAGAGCTCACCTGCAACTTGATAAGTTGTCAAGTGACTATTCATGCACTTATGGGGAAAAACATACCTGCCAGGTTTCACACCAGGCTTTGCCAAGTGGCTAGATATTCAGTAACATATCTGCCTAGGCAAAACAAAAGCAGTAATTACATTTAACTGACCTAAAATACTGTACACAATAGGTGGTAACTGAAAAAAATGCATATATGTACATACACTTCGTGCTTCCTCCTTCACCTACTTAGCTACTGACCCTTCGAACTCTAGTGGAGTCTTCATGCAACAGTCAGTTGAAGACAATAAAATCACTTTGCAGCAGTACACTAACACAATTAATTAGGTACTGGTGTGAATTACTAGCAAAATCCAAAAAGATTTTAATGTGCACCAGTAGTTTCTGTATTTGAATGCAAGCAGCCTCTGGCACAAACATGCTATTGGGTACAGAACACCTGTGCCACTTCACTGGATAGATCTATATCCTGGACAACACCCTCTATTAGTAACAGCAATAGTTAGAAAGAGCCATCTGGTTTTGATCAGCAGGGCCACTAAGTCATATTATATTCAAAACACAAAATATTTGAATTAACAGAAAAATTTCAAAAGACTTAAAAACAATAGCATGAACTGGCCAAAAGGTTAAATATTAAAAAATATATACCCAACATTTTAACTATTCCACTAGTATGCCATCTTTTCCTGAAATCACCCAAGTTATACGAAGATTAAAAGTAATGACAACCCACGCATCAACTAGGGACATGGGATTTAACTACTCCTTTGTTCTCCAGTGCCAAAACACGCATTCTGAAATTTCCACTCACTTTTTTCCCTAATCTCAGAAGAACCCAGGGATTTCCTGTGTTTAAACTCCCTAAGTACCTAGTATATGAGGCAAGCCATGGTCGTAAGCACCTTGATCTCAGCAACAATGTGAAGTTAGATAATTAGATATCTCCTGTTGATCGCTGAAATTTTGTACTCATTGTTCCTTTAGCACATCATTTCATAGCTGCTGTGATTTGGGGTTTTTAGCTCAAAGGAGAGCTTCGGAAGCTTCCTCTGCAGCCATGATCAAAGAGAGATGACATGTTGTTGTTATATCTCACAGACCAGAAGGGCGCAAGCATAGCTCTGTGGTAGTGAGTCTGCCTGGACTCAAAGTGTTCCCTGGAGACCTCCTGGTGTCAGACACTGCAATGGACTACCTGCCCCACACCGCCCTCTTGCTAAGTGCAGGTCAGATACAGGGTGGCGTTTGTTCATCCATGTGGGTCTGTGGGTGTGTGATGGGGAGGGAGGATCAGTGCAACGATTACACACGAGGCATTTGTGGGGGATCCTGTTAACCCACACCAAAGAGACTGCATTGTTAATTTAAAAATTCCCATCAGTTTATTCTTTTTGCCTGAATGTTGTTGAATACAAAGTCTAATAGGTAGATGAGGCGGGGAGGACACAGATCACCTCCCTCCTCCATAGGCCAGGCACAACCAGAGCCCAAACCAGGATCTCCATTCACAAGCAGCTGAGTTAAAAATCCCAACCTGTACAGCTTCAAGCAGAAGGAAGAGATTGGCCCATGTGACCATTTCCAGCAGTGTTCAATCACAAGGGTAGCAGATCCAACTTATGGCTAGAGGTTGCTTGAAAGAACTTCCACCAGCAAAATGTGGACCTGCAATCGATGTCCACAAATACCTACTGTGGAACATAGAGAGATTGCTGGTGACCAGAGACCAAAGTTCCTTAAAAAAATAACTCAGTCAAGGTCACAACCATCAGCTTCATGAAAGCAAACAAGCCAGCCATCCCCAGACAGAGTGATGAAGGCCTTCAAAAACCAAAAGGAGAAAGTTTTGACTGTGATTCCCAATCACACACTTGCCTGAAGGTAGGTGCCACATATAGAAGAAATTTGTTCCAGATTTCTTGCTGAACAAACACAGGCATTCCTCACCTCTCACCCAGTGCATTCCTACGTCTAGATCCTTAGCTTTCCCTGCGCCTCACTAAAGACCATGAGTTACAGCCTACAGCATTGTGCCAGTCCCATGACAGATCTGAGGCTCAGAGTTTGTAGGGTTGTTTATTCACAGGAGTTTTAAATACCTGCATAGCTCCAAGACATCACTAATGAGCAGAAAAAGCCCAGTTCTTTCTTCAAAACAATTAATATCTTAAGGTATGATGTGTTTCCCCATGTAAAGAGCTGGCAATCACACAGTGATCATCTGCAGCAAGTGGGAGTGTTTAGCATCATCCAAGATCCCATCACAGACAGACATAATTCTTGCTGGGAGGAACCCAACAGGCTTAATGGGTTTTAAGTCTGGTGCACAAACTGTCTAAACACAAGTATTAAATCTGAGCCAAGTAGAGTATAGTATATGAGGCTTCATCTTAAAAAACAAAACAAAATAAACAAACAAACATACATACATATAAATAACAGGTTTGGGGTTTTTTTAGTTATTTGTTTCCTTACTAATAACACGCTTGTTTTACCCATTAGAGTCCAAAAAACCAAGGTGGCCATTTGCCAAAAGAGGAGTTGTGATTTAACTTCTTTGTTTCCCCTTGCACTGACCTTGCCTTCTCCCACAGCTCACTTGGGTAAAAAAAGAGTTTCTTTACTTTACTACCTCTGGAGAATGGCAGCCAGCAGGTGAGCTGAACTCGGAGATCTCAGCCCACCCTGGGCTTGCAATGAAGGCAGATAGCTCCAGCACAGCCAGCAGCACCACTGCACATGAAAAGAGTCGGTGCTGCTGCTCCCCATCCCCATGGGTAGCGTAAGGAGAGGTGCCCTTAGCTGGGAGGACAGCACAAGAGCTCTCTGTCATTCAAGGTGTTCAGGGGTAGCAGCAGGTCCAGTGCAGCTCTCCAGGGTAAGAGGGCACAAGGTGGGCAAGCCAGTCTCATCATTGCTTTGACCACAGTGTATCCTGTATTTTCTGTGTGCCAACGTAGATCTTAGGCCCTTAGGGCTCTGGAATATTTACCTAACTCCCACTCACATGGGAGGGATCTAGGCTCTACCTATAAAAGTAGCTTTCTGGATGCTTTCTTAGGCCTTTCCTGTCCTCATGGGCACCCCACACACACACTTGCCAGTATAAGCATAAACACCGCCACAGTTCAGTTAATTTCCTTGTCTAACGCATTTCTGTGTCTCTTCCAGTTATGAAAATTTTCACCTACTATGGTATTTAAATTTCAGTTCTGAGTGTTCTTCATCATTTCAAAAAAGATCATTTACAAGTGTCTTGATATCTTTGCACTTCTAAACATGGAATTGTATGCAGTCCCTTCCTCATATTATTTGCATTTTATCTTCTAAATCTCAACTATCAAAGGAGAGTTTGTGCAAGTGAAACCAGTGCAAATACTCAGATTACACATACAATAATTCCCACTTCATTTGATAGCATTTTTATACCATTTGAAGGAGCACAGCCTAAAACTGAGAATTTTTAAATGAAGAAAAATATTTGAAATCAGCAATAAAATGCATTTGTTATTTAGCCAAAAGTGATTTCTGAAACTCTTGAATGCCATGAAATTTGCGGGTTCATTGGTTAAGTGGGTGTATATAAAATTGCATTACCATTTCTGCTTCATTTCAAGCTAACTTTCAAAATTAAGAGTTGAGCTTAAACTCTGAATTTCAAATATTATAATCAAACACATATTTCAAAATTGGCCTGCGTTCAGTGCCTGACGTTCAGACAACAGAAATCTGTAAAGCAAGAGCATACTGTTCCAGAGAGCAGATAAAACTTTAAGCAAACACCTTACATATAGACTCACCTTACAAGTCTGCGCTCACAGCACTAATTTATAGTTCATAAATATTGGTTAAACTTTTTACATGCACTGTTGGCCTGAAAAATAAAGCCAAACCGAAAGCAATTGTATTTATTTCATGATCCCTCACACAGACAAACTCCTCCTGCTCTCCAAGCTTTCTGAAGCTCATTTTATAGACACTACTCTGCAGCTGACCAAAGGAGTTTTTTGAAACATGTAGCCCAAAAAAATAAACAAGCCTGCAAACTTTGCATGCCTATGGCAGGAGGATGATTTCAACCATGAGGTTTTTGTTCCCTCCTTCTGACAGGGCTGAAGGAAGCAAAGCCTTTTATTTGCTCTGTCTTCTGAGATAGCCCATTATTTGTTATTACCATACCCTGGCAAAAATTTCTGTGTTACATAAATAATACCTTACATACCTACACACCCCACCCATAGCTACAAGGAAACCTGCCATCAATGCTTCATGTCTGTGTACAAGAGTCTTGGAGATAAAAGGAAATCACTCAGTTAAGGGCAACCTCCTTACAGATCAGAGCAAGGTGAACTGAACCAGATAAACTTCTTAAGAGTCTTTAAAACACTGTATGAATTAGGTATATTTTTTGTTATTCAACAGGGTAAAGACAAACAGAAGCAAGTATCTGATCTGGAAAACTGTCAACTGTTAAAATCATAGACTGCAGCATGTATGAATTTTTCTGCTTTAAGGTATCAAAATACTAAGTATACTGAACCAAGGATATTTAAAGAAGGGGATAAAAACTTTGTCTTATTTCCAAGTTACCATTTTTCATTACGTTATTCTGGATATGAGACCTTTTTGTAAAATTAATGCATAAGCATATGGTATATTTTTGAGTCCCTTAGTGACATCGTTTAATGGTTTTTTTGGAAGTCCTGGGGTAGCAGTTGGACTTCATGATCTTAAATGTGTACTCCAGCCTAGTTGATTCTATGATTCTTATGAAATGGATGGGCAAGGGGATTAGCAAGGAACTGACTTTGGAGCAGGTCACTGAGGTAGTAGCAGCTGCCTTAGGATTAAACAAAATATCTAAGTACTTATGAAGACCCAGTCCTTCTGTACTTTGATTATACCATCTGGAAAATAGGAAGTTCTCATACATCCCTGCTTTCCAGCAGCAGCACAACAGATAAAATTCCTTAGCATTTGCAAGCTGCCCACTATTTTTTTCACACAGCATCCTTCTAACATAGACTATCATACTGTGTTATTTTCAGATTCAGTACTTTTATGTTACCGGTATTTTGGAGGAAAACACCAGTTTTTAAAATCTCTTCTGAAGGCCTCTTTAAGCTTTCAGAAGAATTGCTAACACTGGCAGTCAGGCTAGGCTCTTTGCAATAGTCGGTGGTTTTCTTTCTTCTTCAATCAATAGAGTAAATCTTGGCATGAATTTATAAAGGCTCAACTGACAGAGCAGAAAGATATCGACAGCCAGTTTGAAGTGAAAAAAGCAGCAGCAGTGTGGGAACTTTTCACAAGTGAATGCACCTACTTTATGGATCATTTGCTGGTTCTCAAAATGGTAAGTTCAGATTTCATTTCTCAAAAATAAGTATTTGCCCTCCTGTCAGCATGGCAGACATAAAGCCGTCTATAATCCCTCCTTGAGTGTCTGGGGGGGAATGACTTAAGCAGTTGGTTTTTCTCCCATCTTGCCTGCTCATCCTGTTTCCACAGTTCCCTTTGGTTTTTAACTTCTTTATAGTATCTCTTCTTCCAGATATCACTTTCTAGTGCTTTGCAAACACCATCTGATTGCAGATCCTGCCAGTAACTTCAGCTGATATTCTCCTATTCTTCTCACTAATGGTGAACTGAAACCACTCTCCAATTGACCATACTAGATGTTTCTCTACCACTGGTCTGTAACAGTATAATCTTAGTTTAATTTCATATAGAGCCATGGTTAGTTTATCCTAAATAGAGCATGCAAATCTCAGAATTCATCACACCTGTAGTTCTAATATTACAAGAAAACAAAGAAACTAAAAAACAACTCCTCTCCCAAAACCTCCAAATTGTCTCCTTCCATCATGGTGAATTTTAAGAGCGTTGAAATATGGACAAGAATATTAGACACTGATACAATAGCTGCAAATTCACATTCAACACACATCAAAAATTAGTGTACCCATTTAAAAGGATGGAAGCTTCCCTAAATATCTTCCTATCACTTTTCTCTTATTCTACAAAGAAAGTTTCTGTTTTCTCATTAGTCAAAGGAAAAGATTAATGAAATCTTCCATGTTGCTGAGAAGTTAGACCAGGCAGTACAAAAAGTACTACAAAGAAAAGGGAATAGAGAACTGGGCTGAATTCCTCCTTGGTGGGGCAGAACAGGAAGGGAAAGGGGTTGACCAGGACCAGCTGTTGGTCCAAGGCAAGATGGAAGCTCAGGGATCTGAGAAGATTAAAAACAGGTGTATCCTTGGAAGGATGGTGACAACAGGAGACATGCAGGCCCCTTGGTGAGTCTGATGTAGGAACCCACAGACAAATCTTAGCCAGGCTCCTGTGACCCATGAATTATGAACTATTCAGTCCGTGCTAGCTTCCCAAACTTTTTTGGCAAAGAAGGAACCCACTGAATTTGGATAGCCAGTTTTACAGGTACCTGCTACTCTAAATACTTCCCAGTATAGGAATATTCCAGTGATTTTAACAGATCTCCACAGGGAACTTTAAGACCACTGTAAATCCCCTCTAAGCTTTCAGGTCAACTGCTCGTTGGACAAGATTTACACAAGGCTAAGCAAACCCTCTCACTAACTCTTAAGTCCTGGCACCTGGGTGATAGTTCAGTGGGTTTATTCTTTTTCATTAGTGCTTTTCATACATATACAAAAACTCTACTCAGTAATCTACATTGTTTAAGCCTTTCTCAGATTTAGGTCAGATTCAGCGCAGCTCCAAGATTACCATCAGAGCTTAAATACTACAAAATCTTAAACAGCCAGTAAGTACCCATGCAGTTCTCACTCAATACAGGTTAATAAAACAATCCAAAGAGATGAAAAACCTTCATGAGCCCTCCACTTACACTATTACAACCATTTCTTAACCCCCATACTAACTCTAAACAACTTCTGTAGCAGCAGATACATGGGATATGGAGGAAAGCATTTAGAAAAGTCATCATTACAGAAATCTGTAACAATGACTCTGATGTTATTAATTCTTCCACACAGAAAGAATGCTAGAGGACCCAGCAGGGACATAGCTGCCTCTGTGGCAGCCACAGAACACTCCAGGGACATCACTCATACCCTCCTCCTCACACAAAGCCCAATATTTAGCCTTCAGGCAGGCCTGGAAGAGTTTCACAATGTCATCTTCTGCCCTCCCCAGATGAAATAATCATTCAGTAAGAATTACAGTGCAAACATGTTCTCTTCAGGAAAAAAGAGTACAGATACATTGAATTGCCTCAAACAGTTGGTAACATCGATTTGTTTTCTTTTAAAAGGTATTTATGAACACTCTAAAATCTTCAAAGTAATGAACTTCTCTTGGATGTGGATTTATGGAGACTCCTTGCAAACTTAGAGGAGTTAAACAAGGTGAGTAAAAAAAAAATAAATAACAGCCTTATTGAGATCAGAGACCAGCCCAATAAAAGGAGATAAGAAACCACCCATAAAGTTTCTATTAAGATTCAGTGCTCACATTTGGGACTTAGTTCAAATAATTAATCTTTCCTTCCTCTCTATTTGGTATTTCAAGGGTTCAGATTTCACCAGTGCAAATTATTCTCACACACCACCAGCAAAAGGTAAACAGGCATTTGAAGAGCAAGGAGAGCTTGTTTGGCAGCTGTTTCTGAAGTAAACCTGAGATTGAAACTAATTCTCATAAGCAGCATCCTTTCAAAAGGATTTTTGAAGATAAACTCCAACTGCACAACCCTTACAGCAAAGCAGTAACAACAGCAAAATAATTTCAATAACAAGTTTCCTTCTGCAAACAGACACAAAAACTTTGCTATCTATTGTGCCACTCCAGCAGGGCAAGTTAAAACAAAAGAGTGACCACCCCTCTCCACTGAGGTTTCTCTCAGTGTGAGTGGAAGGATGTTCCCACACAGACTGGATGCTTTACGTTCATGTGCTACTTACCCTCCAGCTTCCAGGAGAAGGGAGACCACACGGCTTGGCTGTGATGAGCTCCAGTTCTTTGCTGCTTGTGGCCAGTTGCTGGGAGACTATTTCCAGCTCTGAAAGTCAAAGGAAGCCCTAAGTCCAAAGCAGCTTTTACATAAATTTAGAAGCAAACCAAAACTTTTTCTTAGCTTGAGAGCTCTCTTTCAGAACGCCTTGTCCTTAATAGCAAAGTGACTTCTTGGAAGGTACTCTCCAGCTACATACATTGAAGGAAAGCTCTTCAGAGCAAAGACAATTAGCCAGAGCTTAAATACATGAGCAAGTCACCTGTACTCTGCTCAACCTCACACCAGGTGAGCTGCTTTGAGTGACCACCTGAGCAGGTCTGGTGATACAAGAAAAGGTGTTTACTTGATGTGTTTCACCTTGCACTTGTTGTGTACTGAGACCATAAATGCAGCCAACTACTAGAGTTCAGCTAATGTGTGGTTGCTGATTCCTTCATTCTTGTTCAAGGAAACAAGTGGGTTATAATGCTGTGTGTCATTTAGCAATCACAAAAGCTTTGAGCTTGGCTGGAGCTGGGTTACGTCTAGAGAGAACTATCTTTAATACATTTTCTGTTTTGTTTTCTAATTTTTTGTCCTTACTAATAAGAATATTAAATGATCATGCATTACTCATACTTGTATATAAACCAGTGATCAAATTCTGGAGAAAATACCTGCTTTGAGTACCTTTTATGTCTTTTTTCATGCATTTTACTGTATCCATTTCTTCCTGACAGCAGGCTGAATCCATCAAAAAATGCATGTTCTAAAAGGCATAAAATATACCCTTGTCATAATGAAACAATAAGCATCATCTTATAAGCAACACTGTCTCCATAAATACACCAAAAAAGCCATGTGTGAACCTACAAAAGCAGTTCACACCAGTATCACAGATGATGATGTTTCCTTCTGGCCTAAAATTTGGCCTAAAGCTGAGCCTGGTCATGAATTTGTGTGCAAATAGTATGTTAAGAAGGCAAGTGTGTGCTTAAGAGCAGGCTCACATCTGCATATGACTGACAATGTAGGCACCCTTCAATCCAGTGCAAACCCATAAAGTTAACTTCTGGGGAACATGTGACTTTTTACAGCATTTTATAGAGATTTCCCTCATCTCCAACAGCATGAAACAAACTCAAACTATGAAAGATGATATCTTCTTCAAAGTACCATGAAGACTCCTTTATCACCACAGTTAGGTCATATGCAGTGTTTTCCAATAGACAATTTTTAATGTCAATTCATGTTAGATACAGCTTCTGCCCTAAAAGAAGTTCAAATGGAAAAACTAGTCTTGTTTCAAAGCTTTTGTCACATGGCATTATCATGACGTAAATGCATATTTGTATAGATGTGATTGAACTTCTAATTAAAGCATTTATGATGTAAACCTGAAGATACTTCTGGCAATGATGGGAAGATAAGTATAGGCACCCCACTGGGATGGGACCAGCGATGGGAAATAAAGTTGTTTTAAACTCAACTTCAGAAGATTGCTGCTGCTAATTCCTCTTTTTTCCCATTACTTAGATAAGACTCAGTTTTCTGGAAACTTTTTTTGAAGCCGTGAAGGACCACATCAGAAAGTCAAACTCCAATGGATTTCAGCTCCATACTCAGAAAGGTAACATAATTACAAGTATTCTTATTTAACACCAGGAAGGCCTTGCAGCAGGCCATTTATCATAGCATGCAGGTGATTTAATGCAATCAAATCAGTCAAGGACACACCATCTGTCACAGGCAGTTTGGTCTCAGCCTGAAGCGCCTTCTCTCAGTAGGATGTTTTCCTTTCTATTCATTGGCATGTTTGAGGTGGTCATGGAAAGGTGCTCTGTATGTGGTGCTAAGTGTGGAAATATTTTCCCTTCCTTAAGGTTAAGTAGTCCAGACCTTGAGGAGACTTTGCCACTGGCAGATGTGAGCTTCTCACTCTACGGAAGATGTTTTCCCAGAGACCAAACTCCAGCCCCATCACCGGATGTCCCTATCTCCTTTCAGTCCACTGCATAGATCCTTCCTTTATTCCGCAGACTAAACTCACAAGTGTGTTTAAGTGTTTCATTAAGAGCTCAATGGGACTGAAATACTTCTTACTCTTTGGCCTTTGCCTGCTAAGCAAGAGAGAACAGACACAGCTGTCTTGACACTGTTAAGCACTGCCCTGCAACCTTTCTGGGCAGTCTTCATGGTAAGCATGGCAGTTGTACAAACAGCAGTCTCCAGGGACTGTATTTCCTGCACAGCTTCCCAGTGACTGAACAGTTGGACATACTAATATAGACAGAATATCAGTTCATGGGTTTGAACCTTCCCTGATAGCAGAGGCCACCAGAAAACTTCTGGAAAATACTAAAACAGACCTTATCTCAGGTTTAGGATTTTAAAAAGGGGGAATGAGGCTAGAGCTTATCTTCTCAGTCCCATTACCGCTGACTTCAGGCTTTCTCACCAATAAGGTGTCTGTGAGACAGGTGGAATCCCAGACAAAACTGAGTTTTAGCATGGGTGGCACATAACATTTCTAAGAGCTATCTAACACACTCAGTATAAAGTGACATGCTATGCAAAGGCATGTAGAGCTGTTGCATAGAGAGTGGGGTTTATGTTCAGCTTCTACATGAAAGTCACATGACATTTATTTCTAATGAGAATGAATTCTAAGAATTCTTGACACCTCTAGAGCTGTTAGAACTGTGCTCCTACACACTGCTTGAGCACTGTTGTGGGTTTTTTACTACTTTACCAATTTTAACTACTTTTTAAATTGGTCTTTTCTTTCTTAACTCCCCTTTGTCTCTCCCCCATTTTCCTAGGTGGGAGTAAATCTCAGGTAAGACACACATTATGAAACCAAAACTGCTGTTTCTCCCTTTGGCATGTCATTGTTATTTCTTGATAATTTGCAGCGACTCTTCTGCAGTTTTTCCAGGGTGACCTCTGCCAGACACGTCAGATTTATTGCCTTAATTATACCTCCGCTGTCTTCTACTTGGAAAACCTGAGACAGAGAGAAGATTTTGGCATCTACCTGAAAGTAAAGTGATGGTGATGATGGTGGTGGTGATGTCTTCAGCCTTTCTGCCTCATGACATGATTTTAACAGCAGGCTAGGGAAGTTCATTGGAAGCAAGACTGCGTAGATAGCATTTTACACAGATATTTTGAACTGCAGAAGGTATCACAGATACGAAGTCACCTCCTGAGTGTATGTTCCTCTGCACATATGAAAGCCCATACTTGTAACTTAGAACACACAAGAGGGGAAAGCAGAAAAGGAACAACTGACTGCATTTTTGAAGGCAGAAAATATGTACTGCCAGCCTCTACCATTCACGTGTTTTGCACGTAATCCCTTGACTTGGTGACCTCCACCTTAATAAAGTGAAATTGTTACAGAAAAAAAAGGAAGCAAAAATCAATCAAGGCACATTGTAAAATCTTTCTCAAGTGTGTTACTTTGATACATGCCCTGCACATCAGCTTGGTTTAGATGTTGGGTGGGAACACAGCATGTAGGGTATTACGCTCCTTATCAGATGATAGGGCTCACATTCCCTGAGTACAAAATAGCTCCCAGCATCTAAGCTATGCCACAGTGAGTGGAGAAACTTATGATGGGTTTCTTCTGCGTAAAGGAAGGGCTATATGATAAAAGCCAATATAAGGGAAATAGAAATCCAGGTGCACATCAGTGATTTCTTGGCACCCTTGGTGAAAGGGCAGGATGGGTTTTGGCTGAGGCCTGGCAAGAAAGCAGGGCTGCTTTCCTCACTTACGGGTATTTGATTCCCTATGTGCCCTCAGGGAAGGAACATCCTGGATAGGACAACAAGCAATCCTCTGCAAAGGCAGGAATAAAGTAAATTATCTTCCTAGTAGATAGTGTAGTGCTGTGTTTTGGATTTAGGATGAGAATAAGGATAACATGCTCATGTTTTAGTTGTTGCTAAGAAATGTTTACACTACGTCAAGGACTTTTCTGCCTCTCACACCACCTAACCAGCAAGTAGGTTGGGGTGCACAAGAAGCTGGGAGGAGACACAGATGAGAGAGTTGACCCCAACTGACCAAGGGGTATTCCAGACCACATGGCAACATGCTCAACATATAAACTTGGGTTAAATCTAGCTGGGTGCTACTGCTTGGGAACTGGCTGGGCATCACTCAGTGGGTGGTGAACATATTGTGTTGTGCATCACTTGTTTTGTGTATTCTAATTCTTTTATCTTTATTTTTACTTTGCCTTCAATTTCCACCCAATTAAACTGCCTTTAGGTCCATCCAGGAGTTTCATTTTCCCCTTACCCCCCAATTCTCTCCCCCATTCTGCTGGGTGAGGGGAAAGTGAAAGAGCATATGCACGGTGTTTAGCTACCTACCAGGTTAAACCACAAATGTTTTACACTGCCCTTTCTCTCACTGTGTGAGCAGTTCATCTTTAATTAGTCCCAGTCTCATTACAGTCAGCTGATGATGCAGAAAACGATGAGGCATATGGCAGGTTTTCTTTATCTTCAGCAGTGGTGTGAACAAAATGAACAGTGCAAGAGACTGCATCTGTCAGAGCTGCTGGTCTCTCCTTTGCATCGACTGATGCGCTATCCCCTCCTCCTCAACAACATCTGGAAGAGGAGCACTGATGAAACAGAGAAAGGCTTTATCCAGTCACTTAAAGAGAAGGTGGAAAAGTCCATATGTAAGTAGCTAAGGTTAAAAGTCAATTGTGCAATTAACTATTTGCTAGTTATGTGGCCATTTGTGCATGAGTGTGAACTGGTCTGGTCTCCCTGCAGAGATGCAATGAGGATGTGCATGCCTTTCTACAATCATGAGCCCTTCTTCATTCTGTAGGAAATGATTGGTTCCACCCCCTTGGGCTGTCAAACTCTCAAGGGTTCGGCAAGGTCATAGGACTCCCAAATCAGTGAGTCACCTGTATTTGCTCAGAATCATCTGCAGTGACATGCAAACAATTAACAGGAGTTCACAAATAAGAACAAACCAGGAAAGTTCTCAAAGAAAGAATCCCCTGAGTTGGATTTATGTCAAAGAAGGCTGTGTTTGGGCTAATCCTTAATAGGATATAATTGCACTCACAAGGGGAATACTATGTCAGTGGCCTTTCAATAAATGACAGGGTCATACTATGCAAAATAGCTGAAGTGCTATCCCAGCTACAGATTTTCTCTAGCTACTATGGAGAAAAAAAAAAGGATTGGAACAGAATTTTTTTTATTAATTCTATATAATTTATTAATTAGGTCTTGATCGTAAAGCTATAAATGCACCTCTAAGCGTCTTATAGTCACATAGTACATCAGTACATTTATTCCCCAAAGGCCTCATGCAGCCCCTACTAAAATCAAAGACAGTACATCAGCAAGACACTTATCCCACCAATCTTGGCAAGGAACGGTGCCAGGCAGTGCTTCATCTTCACCAGCAGTACACTCAGCATGGTGGTAAGTTCTCTGCCATCATTCTTCTCCCCATTCTAGATGCTGAAGGCTCAAGCATCTCCTTTGGAGATGAGGCAGAGAGTTAATGTCTTCTAGAGACAGATAAATCTGGGTCTCCTTCTTCTTAGGTAAATACTCCAGTGACAGAATTACCACCTAAAAGAGGCCTGGGTACTTCCTCTTCTTGCCAAGTCCTGTGAAGTATCTAGACTAATGGCCATCCAACGAGTACAGGTTTTGGCAAAGAACAGGTCCCATAGGAAAATATGATTGTTTTGTCACTAGTCTAGGGAATTCTGGTGGGCAGACAGCAGATTTAGGTATGCCCCAAAAGACCATGGAATACCTGTGGAATATACCTGGCAAAAAAAAATATCGGTCCTTCCAGAGTTCAGGTATTTCCAGGCTGAGGAAAGCAACCACAAAGGGGTGACCCCTCTTTATCACAACACCTAACAAAGATGTGGCTTCAGTTTTTGATCAGAGAATCAGTGACATAAGGAACAGTGCAGTCCCAGAATTCTCCTTCTGGTGCTTGTGTGTGGGTGTGTGTGTCTGAAACTGTTATCTGCAGTAACACTCAACTCAAAAACCTGGAGTTCAAGTTGCGTGTTCCTTAAGGTTTTCCCCATAACAGCCCTGAATCAGCGAAGACTTAGTCTCCACTTTTCACCTTCTGAAATCCCAGTCCCAGTCTTTGGCAGCTTCTGGCATAGAATCATAAAATCATAGAATAGTTAGGGTTGGAAAGGACCTCAAGATCATCAAGCTCCATCCCCCCTGCCATGGGCAGGGACACCTCACATCACTTCCCTCAAAATGAATCCTCACTAATTTCAACAGTCTTTTTACCAGGCTGTATATAGTGAAAAACATTTTCCTCTCACTAGCCCAGACACTTTAAAAAAGCAGCATTTTTAAGCAACTTTTAAAGATTCCAGTTCAATTGAGTTTTATACAATTCCCCCTGTTTCCCAACCACATTAGCAAACACAACCTTTTCATTTAGCACTGAATTGAAGCATGTTTGAGTGCACAATTAGAAATTCTGGTTCTACCAACCTAAGAGCTTAGGCATTTTTTACAGTGAGGCCAAGATTTTATCTGGGAATTAACTTGTGAGGAGCTTTGGCTTCTATTGGAGAAAAAACAATACTCAGCATCTTCTGGAAACAGGACTGGGTTTGCCAGCCTTGGCAGTAACCAATGTTCCACATATTTCAGGGGATCTGGAAGGTAAAGTCAAGTGGTTGGACAACTTTCAGAAGTTCAGACAGCTGCAAGAGGTCATAATTTGGCCTCAGGTCTGGGATCGTGACAAGAGATTCTTTGTCCCAGAGGTAAGCAGTTTTCTAAAGGGCCTTTTTCCTCGAGGACTGTTTAGTTTCCTATCTATCTTTACAGTGTGGTCTAAAGTTGGCTACTTGTCTATATTTTAGTTATGGGAGATGGCTTTGCCCTAACAGGAGCAGCTGCAGCCTGAGCACTACAAATACTGTAACTGAACATGCAGGCTGTGCACAGTGCCTTGGATGATAGCATGGGCTGCTCTCAGCTAGCATCCAAGAGAGTACGATCCTGTGATCCAGAAAGACTCTCCAGAGGTTGCTTTTAGGGGCATAATGAAATGGGATAGATGTAAGTATTACTACCTTTTTATAAGGTTATGAAACAGAACTTACTTGCCTCTTTCACTTCTCAAGCTGAGCCAAGGAAATTTCTATTGACATTTAAATAGCATTATGAAAAAATTACATAGCATACCTGGGAACATGTGTACCTTTCTGCTGTGGTTACCCCCTTAGCCATACATACAGACTTCAAGCATTATGGTAATATCATCAAGTGGGTCTCACCTCAAGGATTGTCTGTTCACACATAGGGCTGCAAAAACCATTAAAAACACTCCGGAAAATCAAAACACAGCTTCACATTTCAAAAGCTTAAACACATTTAAGCAACAGCACTGTTGAAGAAATGTAGCCATGCTCAGTTATTAACTGTGTGATGCATTTAGCCTGAGATAAGAGCACAAATGTACTCAATTTGACTGCTGGCTGCCTTGCAGTTCTCTATCAGATATGCAAGATTCCCTATTCACTCCTCTCTTTTTTGGGTCAAGTGTTTGAAGCAAAGCCTAAGGGAAAACAGCAGTGAAAACATTTTGTGTTCAACAAACAGACTTCTCCTTCATGAAGGGAGGCTAACACTAGCAGGTAACGTCCCTAAACGTCCCAGTATTAGGAGTTAGCTGAACAGAATCACATTTTGCTATGGCAGATCCAGAATGAATCTCTGCAACTGTATTCGGGCAGGTGTGGGAAAGAAAAAGCAAATGTAGAGCTTGTCACAGAGAGACTGAGAAACAGGAAAGCTGCCAACAGGATGAGTAATCTGCATAGTTGTTTACTGTCACATCTGGATATTCAGTCTGCCAGGTGCTGAAGAAATCAGCTTGACTAGCCAATGCCTGACACTCAAAGGGAGCATTTTACTGTCACATTCAAGAATGTGTCAGTAAGAAAACAGGAAGTTTAGACTGTCCTATACAAGGTGCCTCATGTGCCTGGGGACCAATGTCAACACAGCTCCCCTCTCTGGCACCATATCCACCATGTGCTTCCTTGAAAATCACTGAAAAGTCCAGAGGTTTTTCCTGCTTCTATTTCATATTTCTTCTTTGCTAAGACTGCTGTTTTGATGGATGCCTTGGAACAAGAAGGTATTATCCTGGCAAGTGGCTTCCTTCTATGAACAGAGCACTCCTACAACATGCCATTAACCCCACAGGTAGGACAGTGGTCCCACACGAGCATGTTGATTTCTTCATCTCTGTTTGCAGCTGTCTATCATGCTGGCAGAGTGGAGACTCGTATCTCGGGACAAATAGGCACCATTCTGTGGCAGGGCACAGGTTGCTTGCTGGCAAGCTGCTGCAGAATCTACACCTGCAGAGGAAAAGCAAATGTGGTCCTTGTATGAGCAGGAAGGAGAGCTTGGTCAGTTTGGAAAAGACCATCATGTGAAAGGATGCTGGAAGCTGCATGCTATGGTGGATGCAGGGCTGTAAAAATGGCTTGACAGAAAGGAGCAGAGCCCATGTCTTACATTTCCTTCACCACCTCCTCAGAAATAGAAGTGAATAAACTTTCCGTCTCCCACCACCATTATTACTGTTATAAAAGGAGTATCAAAAGAAACAGTGTCTATTTTTCAGTGTTTCATGAGGAGCATTATAGTTGCACAGAAGGCAAGAGAAGTGGTTGCTGATGATGTTTAGGGGGTGGCAGGCACAGCTGAAAGAAAGCCACTGAGTCCTCTCCTTTCCATGCTTCCCTCTGCACTCATTGCTCTGTTGATGTGCAGGAGGTAAGGGTGGCCGTTGGGTGGCTACATTTCTTTCTGCAATATGTAATCAAAAAAATGGAAGGAGGTATGAGCATAATTCTTGCCCACCAAGCCAGCTGCCTGCAATCTGTAATATAAAAGTGCCTGCAATTGACACTTGCCCGAATTAAGTAACTTTCAAGACAAAAATGAAATTACAAGTAAAATGAAATACCACACAACAGAAAGAAGCATGTCCTAAAGCCATCACCCTGAACAGGCTCACATAAATTTGGTGTTAAAGCAAATGTGATTGCTTGAAACAGAGATCACTGAGACTACAGTTGCTTGGGGCTTTTGTAATCCTGTAGCTGAGAATAGGAGCAGCTATGAGAAGTGGATTTGTTCAGATGTAGGAACAGAAGGCTCAGGGAAGACCTTAGTGTTGTCTTCACTGCCTAATGGACGGTTTAAGGCAGATGAAGCTAAAGGCATCTTGGTGTTGCACAGAGAAAATATGAGATATAACAATGTAAGTTGCAGCATGGGGTATTCTTCCATTAGATACCTGTAAAAAACATTAGCAATTAGGGTGGTCAAATAATGGTACAGGGGACCAAAGAGGTTGCTTTTATCATGCTATCAATTAACTTTTCCTCACTACAAAAGCCTGTGAAGAGGACAGCATACCAGTATTTAAAGGTACCAGTATTTAAAGGTGGAACTTCCCTCTCTATCTCTGCCATTTTCAGAGGGTTCACTGTTTACCAGGTAGGAGTTGCTGATTTATATCATGCCAATGGTTGCCTTTGTAGGTACTACAGGGGATCCAGGTCACTTTTCCTGGCAGTCACAAAACAACAAGTAGTTGTTTTTCATGAGGTAGCTGCTACAAGGTACAAGTATTAGTAGCCAAAATCAACAAGAGACATTAAGTACCGCATTTGAGAGTGCAGACCAGGGGATAAATAGTTGTGTACTATGTCGGAAACCATGCTTCTTTGTTAAAAGCATTTTATACAATGCTTTTAATAGGCATGATTCACAGATGTGCTTCATTATAAAATAGCAATTCCTTAAAATAGTCACACCATAAAACTGATTTTGCTTTGGTTTTCTCCTCAGAAAGCACAAGACTCCTTGACATCTACCTCTTCCTGTTCAACGATTTCCTATTAATTACCAAAATTAAACATCACAGAAAGGTAATAATGGATAGAGATATACATGGTTGTGGTTGTTACGGGTTTTAGCTTGGTAAATATTTTGAGTGTACTTTGGAAGATTGACCTAATGATAAATACAAGATGTCTCATCAGCATGAAGGACTGGCGATACCTCCTTAATAGAAAACCGTAACACTGATTCAAAACCCTGCTTCTAGGCTCAGTACATCACAGACACACTATGGCAGGCAGAATTTACATAACAAGACCTTAATATTTACCTGTGTGCCTGGTGGTGTTCTGACACGCTGGATTCCTGCGGCTCAGAAAAGTGCAAGGTTCTGAGAAGATTTGTAATGCTCCCTCAAGACTCAGCTCAGCACCTGAGAAGTTTTTGGCCCAGAGGTATCAGAACTTTTGGAAACAAGTAGAAAAAAAAGAGGGGAGGCAGGAGAAAACAGGGAAATGGAAGACTGGCTTTGTTCTCAGCACTAACACAGTCTATTGGATGTCTCCTCTCTTTGCCTTGATTCCTTGTTGTTTGAAATGGAGGGAGTTCTATATATGATAGATATCTGTATTTAGCCACCAAAAAGGGGAGTGGATGACCTGATATTACTGTAAATTAAGGCTAAGCGAACTTATGCTGATCTCAAGAACTTTGTATCTGATTTAAAGACTTGGGTTTTTCTTTAAAGTAGGTGTTGTGCTTCCGTAGGAGATAGAGAATGCATGCAGTGGGAGACTCTAGACCAGCAGCACCATCCCTTAGCAACAGAGGGGGAAGAAGGGAGCAGGGATTCAAGGGACCTGTGCCCACAGGCAAGTCTCAAAGGATTGCCCAACGTACATATTTTGGGGAACCTTCTGTGAAGGGCTGAAACCCATCTGGCACCCCAGCTAACCTGGTGCCCCCGGCACTGTCTGCATCTATGCGAGGGGAGATGAGGAAACACACCTCCAAGGGACGGAGAAAAAGTCCTGTTATTAAATCAGGGGGGGGAAAGGTGGACAAAAAAAAGAGTTTTGAGCACTTTTGTTTTCTGCCTGTGGACTCGTACTGTGTTTCTAATGAGGCTTTTTAGTACAAGGTGTGATGTAGATCTCCAGGTACCAATGATTTTTCTGAGCTTCCTCAAGCAAGTAAGCTGTCTGAGTAACTTTGGTAAGAGAAAGCACATAATTTAGGCCTGCTTAGTGCCTATACTTCATGAGCAGATAACCAGCTAAGCAACTTCATCTTCTATTCCCAGAAATACGGGAGCTCAGACACCAGTTTAATGCCTGTCTGTCCTTCCCTCACTCCTGAGCTGCAGTCCTTCATCAGAGAGGGTGGATTGTTCTAGACCAGCCCATCCCACTAGACAGACTGATACTGAAAAACGTTGACCCCATCCATGTTACAGGTATGTGCCTATGTGCGTTTGAACATCTTCATAAATACCATCTCAGTGCATTATCTGTGTGGCAGTATAAAGGGTAAGATGCTATTTGTTCACAGACCACCCTTAAATGCCTGGGGTGCCTTGGCACTCCGGCTTCACAGCTCTTCCCCTGCCATGAAACATGAACTGCTTACACAGATGTTACATCCCATGTTCCTCTGCCTCTAACAGTGACTTTTGCATATGCACCAGATATTACCCGTTCACCCTAAAGGAGGTAGCTAGACTCCAGTGACTTCTTGCTCACAAATCAAGTATTTCCTTGACCTAACTGTCCTCACACTCTGTCAAACCTTGGGCATCCTTCCCAAGAACACTTTCGACCCCATCCTAGTTATGCGGCATTTTCTGCAGTTGTCCCACTGCACTGCTTTCCTGGGTGTCCTCACATATGCACAGCAGCAATTCTCGAGGAGGCTGGAGAGATCTGCCTCCTGTTGCTGCTCCTACTCACCTCCCTACCAGCCCTTGAGAGGATGGAAACCACCTACTGTACATCAATGCCTCCTTGCTTAGAGACATCCAAATGCACTGCCATGGGAAATCAGCTCCAGTATCTGCTGCTGTGCCCTTGGGTGAGGTAGGGAGGAGGACTGACCTCCACAGAGAGTGACCAAACTCACCCTGACAAAACAACGTACCTGCAGTCACAAATCAGAGCTTGGGTGAGGGAGCAGGCATGAAACATCAGGTTTCCCTTTGGTCTGAGCCACTCATTCAGGCTCTCACACATCCCAGTCTAACACTGCCCAGATCCCAGGAGCCTCCTATATCAAAAGGAAACAAGAGAAATGCAAATCTGCAGGCTCCAGGGCCTGTCAGCCATCCTAATCCTAAAGGCTGAGAGTTAAATTTCAAGGAGCTAGAGTGGTCCACAGAAAATCAATAGATACAGAAAACAAACCTAGAGACCATAAAATTCATTATAACTTTGAAATATATTCACCCAGATTACTTAGTATTCAGCATCAATACTACTAGGAAATAAAGGTAGGCAATAAAAGGCAAATTACTAGAGATGAGATAAGGGGATGAACAGGGAATAACAACATTTTCCAGAAGGCGCCCCAAGCGCTGTCTGTCTGTCTAACAAGTCTCCCTACCAACCCAGCAGAAAAGCAACTGCAGCACCCACCTCTCACCAAGGGGAGGGCAGCCCCACGATCCTGCCTAAGCCCAGACTAGATGCAAGGTTGACAGCTTCTGGATGCTGTTGCAGGCAGTGCAGCCACCCTCTGTTTTGTCCATGTGGCCATATACAACTGGCCATAAACACCATAATGGAGATGGGAATAAGATTTTTTGATCTTTTTCCAAGTCAGCATTTCCTGCGCTCAGAGATTTGTATTTCTAACCCAGGTCCCCAAGATCCATCAGCAGAATAGGCAAAGTTACCTGCTGCATCCCAGCCCAAGCTCTGGCCACTGGCTACAGCCCTTCCCTGCACACAGGACCTCATTGCCTGACTTCTCTCCCACATATTCCTACCTGCTTTATTACAGTCTCTGTCTCTTTATGGCAATCTCTGTTACTTACCTGTAGTCTTGTAACCCTTGGAACTCCTAATACAGAACTCCTTGGAGTGGGGCATAATAAAAATAGTGAGAAAAATGACTACAGGGAGCTTGCAGTTCAGATTTCCACCATTTTGTGTAAAACAATAAGCAGACCTTTCATTGCCAATGGAAAATACCCCTTTGCAGGAAAAAATTAAAGCTTAAATATTATCGGGAATGTGTGACCTTGGGGAATGCTGCCAATTCATTTGCAGTCTCAAGGAGAATTTTGCTATTGGTGGCAGTAAAAGATTAGGACTGCTGTTGGTGGCAGTTCTCAGAAATGGCAACATCTGATTTGTAGTGATTGTAGTGACCCATCACATTAATCAAAAAAGAAACCCTGATTTTTGATCTAACATGTACTTTTGCATCCATTCTTTCACTGAGGGTTGATCTCATTTCAGGAAAAAATGTACCTCAATGCATAGACTAGGAAAAACTATATATATTGCAATGTCATAAAACTACTCTTTTGGTAACGGGCAGGAGGATGACAATTATGTAGGATAATTCTAGCCCGAAGCCTGCTAATTATCAGTGGAGGGATAAGAGACATAATGGTGTCCTCTTAATCCTGGGAAGCTACCTTAAAGCAGAACTACCTGCAAATGCCAAAACCTTGTACAAGGGATTTACACTTACATGTAAAGTGTAATAGTAGGAACCCGTATCTGAAGCTCATAAGAGCGACATACATTCTGATTAGGAAATCATTTTTCCTTTAACATTCGGCTGTGGATTTAAGACGTGGGGAGAACCCAAACCCACCATAATCAGTCCAAGTGCAGCCATTTCCCTACCTGGCAGCTGTAGTATGGACTTGTCTGAAATAAAATTAAAATGGGGCCTTTCTCTTTAATTTCTGATATTTGTTTTCCTTTCATTTCAGTGAAGATTTAGTCCACTTTGAGTGGAAACTCCTCTTAATGACCCTCAGCTAGACTCAAAAGCACCATGGCTGTACAATGGTAAAATCATTAAAAGAAATGAAAGAAGGATTAGCTTTTGGAAATAACAAAGCCTCCGGCACAACAAAGAACTAACCATATCAGAGTGTACTGCCCTATTAAGAATCATAAAATACAATTACATATATCATTTCTTCAATCATAATCAGACAACAGGATATAAAGTTGGACTGACAGCTGTACGAGGGAATTTCTGTCACCTCTTCACATTTTTCCACAGTCTTCAGCCTGCGAAATGCTTTCCTAATACAGCATGAAAATAGGTACCGTCAGTGCATAGCAGTCTTCTTGCTACAAGCTCAGACAGAGGCTGCTAAGGTAAGTAGCACACTATTTTTTTCTTCTCTAATTACACAACCACGCTTTCCCTAGAAGAGGATTGCAGCCTGAAAGCAGCCACGCTGTGATAACAATCTACTACAGTTGTGACATTTGAACAGAACCAGACCAAACCAAAATAACAACCCAGTGCCTTGGCTCACACATTTCTTACAGGATTTTTGCTGTTGAACATGTACCAATTTGCTATCAGGGCTGGCAGCAGGTCATATTCTTGTTGAAAAACACTGTAATTTCTGGTTGGTAAAAAAACAGGCATTTTTTGTGTCGCAGAAATGAAGACAGTCAGCCCCTCTAGAGAAGTCAACATCAAAACACAAACCCCCAGCTTATAAGCAGTAGTACTCAGATCAGAAATCTGTAGCATGCTCATCTATGCACAATACACATCTTGCAATTTCAGGTTGAACAGATGGTATGATTCATTCCACCATTACATAAGTTTACTCCCATTTTCACACCACATCACATTCTAGTAATAGCGCTGCATGTAACATCTGAAAGTGTGGTAGACACTTCACAGAAGTATATTTTTTTTCTCCTGCAAGTTGAATTTCATTCTCTAGTACCTAATGCACACAAATTTGACTAGCAACAATAGTAATTATTAAGAGTAAGTAACAGGAGACAGACTTCTTCAGAGAAAAGCAATGAGTGAATTCTTCCCAAGTTTATTGGTACTTGGAACAGGTATCTACTATAGATATACATACTATAGATACCTACTCAAAAAGTAGTTACCTTCTATAATTGAAATACCACATTTCCCTTCTAAAGTTGCCTTCACACTAGGTGGCTACCATCTTCTCAATGTCTCCCATGTCCAGTTTATCAGAGAAGAGAGCCCTGCTGTGAAGGGTATTTTTCATCTGGATGTGGTGGCATTACCCATTTTGGTGCTCTAAGCCCTGGAAAGGGTAGACTTTCCAGCACTGGTTGAAGTGAATTACCTCATTTCAGCTCCCAAGAAACCAAATTTCAGCATGCTTAATATATATTTTAAAGAAGCTTTGCTAGCCAAGATGAGTTCATGGGTTTGTTTAGCTGATGTGATTCTGTAAGGCACAAAGGAAGGTGATCTGGGCAAGACTCATGCGTTGGTCTAGATGACCTTTAAAGGTCCCTTCCAACCCGAACTACTGTATGATTCTATGATACTGCTGAGTAGTAAACAGGGAGCTAAGTATACCTGAGGCAGACGAGTGCCTCAAGCTGGCTAAACTATATCGAAAGGGAGACAGAAAACTGAAGCCATACATGTCATATTCCCATTGACTCATCCCAAGCAGAGCGCTGACTCTTAGATCTCCTGACTTTTGTGCAGTGTCTGCCTTGGCTTCCAGCTCCCTTGAGAGGCCCAGGCTCACCCTGTCCACCTGCCTCTTGCTGCAGTACTGCACTCTACCAACCACATGGGGAGTACACATGGTGCATTGAATGCTGATGCAGTGAATCTCATGCCCTATTCCCACCTCTTTCTCAGGGACCAAATATTCAGCAGACACATGAAAACACAGACCTGAAATACGCTGCTGTTGCTCATCCCACCCATACCACTATCCTGCCCTCCGTTCTTTACCCCATTTCCCATTCTTCTCCCTGAGCCTCGAAAAGCTCAACAGCTTAAATCCTGATTCCTGTGAGCCCAGTACTGCCTGGCAAAGTGCTGTGCAACCACCACCACACTGCACATCAGACCTCCTCTGCCAGAAGCTCCAGAGGAACCAGAGCAACCACCCCGTATGGAAGGCAGGCTCTGTGCTCTGCCAGGCACATGCAGACTTTTCCATGTCCTCTGCTGGGACCCCTTAGACCTGTAGGTCATACAATTTATCTCCAGCTTCCTATTTTTCTAAGTGATGTTTTTAACTCATTCAGGGTATAAACACACACAAAAAACAACCAAATGGGTCAATACAAAATGTATGAACCCCAGCATAGCCTGAAGCATGAGGCAACCCCTTTTCTTGTGTTTCTACTCTTTGCATCAAAGCTCAGTGTCTCTGCATGCATTACAGCAGGAGAGCAGCTCCTGACTAAGCAAAATAAAAACCCTGGAATGGAAGAAGCACAGCTAGACCTTAAGCCTGTACTGCTGCCAACTAATTTGTAATGTCTAATCACAGCAATTCAGAGACAACTCAGCTTCTGTGACCCAGACCATCTGGGCTAGCACAGAGAGAAGGAAGTTATGTGCTTTAAATCCATCTCTCCAGCCATCACCCCCTGCTCTCATATCTTGATGACAGCAGATACAGAGGTGAATGCTGTCAGCATGATTCTAGAAACTGAAATTCATGTGGCAGCACATGACAGATCTCAGAGGGGAACAGAATTTGTGATGCTGGTAGCACTGGGTCCATCTTAATCAGAGGAACAGGAAGCCCAAACCACAGGGGCAACATTAAGCTAATAAATATTACACAAAAAAAGGGTGAAATACCCTGCAGCAAGCTTCACCATTACAAGCAAACAGAGCATTAAACCCCTACCTTCCAACCAAAAAGGAAACAAACCTTCACTGGAAATCCCTGGCCCTAGACACTGACTCCAGCAATGTGTAGTGACCTGAGTGACTGGGAGCCTTGGTTCTGAGAGTATTCATGTTCAGTTCAGGAATCATGAGCATGTGCCTTGAAGAAAGGCTAAATAAAACTCCGGTGGTTTATCTGTTTCAGTTTATCTGTTTCAGAACTTTTTTCTATTGTCTTGGTTAACAACTTATTTTTTCCTGCTACAGAAACCACGGATGTCCCAGATAGAAACAGCAATCTCCAATTACTCCGTGCAACATGAAATCAAGAAAAGGACTGCTTTCTGCCTCCCAGCTGAATCCTCTGGAATTCAGTAACGTCAGCACAGCACCGACAGAGGCAGTGGAAGACTACTCTGGTGATAATACAGTTATAGCTTCCAGGATGCCTTAAGTTTCTGAAGCTAACAGATTTCTGACTTGACTAGGCAGGTGTAAGTTTTGGTCACAGAATGTAGGGATAAACTGAAGGGGGGGAAATGTGCCTTGCAGTAAGTGCATCACTCTTAAGAGGCTCCTTTGTTTCAACTAGGGCAAGGCTCTTGCCATCCAGGGGAGCTTTGATACAGCTTGTTGTTTCCTAGAAAGCAGGACAGTGGAAACACCTATGTTGGTGAGGAGAATACCTTCATGAGAGCATTCACACTGTATTAACAAATTTCATTAAATTAATACTGTGTAGCCACAGCTGCTGATAGTTCCGCCTCTCTACCAACTGAATTATAATATCACAAGGTGTTTTTGCATTAACTTGAGCATGAGATAAGAGAAAGCATATGTTGTGTTGACTCATTAATTTTTAAAATGAGATTATTGAAGTTTCTTTGGAAAAAGTCACAATTACATATAATATTCAGTTAAACCAGAGATGCTACTGGATATATAAAAAGAAAGAAGGGCAATGATGCCCTGCTTTATTTGCCTTTTTTTTTTACCTCAGGTTTTTCACTTTATTAGCAACAGATCTGTCATTATGCATTTCTTACACCCATTGCAGCCTTTTAAGTTTGCTTCGAAACTTGAGTGTTCCTTTTGCATTAAGCCGTTCAATATTTCACCGCTATTTCAGATCTGTGGTCCACGTAGCAGAAGTGTGCCCATTATTAGTCCCTTCATTTTTCCCTCTTTTGAGGTACTAGAAGAGACCCACGGAACAGCCTGAAAGTACTTGCCACAACATTTGTGCTGTTTACTCCCATGGAGGAAGGGTGCTCTAACCAGGTTAGCCTTGGCTAATCTCCTGGTATTAGCCATAAAGGGAGACTTCCCTAAAGCCAGTCCCAGTGACTGTCACTTTTCTCTCTTTCTGTCCTGAATCAACTAGTCTCCTCAGCAGGGAAGTTATCCATTAGAATATCCCCTCAGAATCAGAAATTACTTCAGGGGGAATGCAACAGAGAAGCCTTGCAGATGAGGACTATGCTGAACAACAGTGCAATTCCAGTTGTTTACAATATTCACAGCGGAGCCAGCATTCACCTCTACACCACAAGTGAGTTAGTGATGAGTTTGAGTGTTACCCCTAATCCCACTCCTCCCCACCAACACCCACGTGGATGTGGTTGTACATTTTACCCACTGGTTCACCAGTACATACAAGCTACTGTCTGGAAGCTGTATGTAGGTATGTACTCACCTGGCTGAGCACCTTCCAGATGCAGCCTAAGGCCACTGCGATACACATCCCTGTGCTCTTCCCTGTACCTGCGGTAGGCAAGTTCTTGTCACAGCTTCCTGGGAAAGGAACAGCCACTCAGGCTCAGTGCCAAGTGGTGAATGTGTAAGACAGGAGAGTAAAACACTGGAGACAGCAGATCTGCTGCAGGGCTCCACACAATCTGCAAACACTTAGCCACAACTTGGCCTACACAGCTGTGCTCAATCTTCCTGATCCCAAGCCGAGCTTCACACTGCATCACACCCTCCCCCTTCCACTACTAGTGCCTCACCAGAACCTCACAGTACCTCGAAACTCAGGCTGTCTCCAGGGAGATGCAAGCTAAACAGGCTGTTCTGTGGTCTGAAGACAAAGATACCTCAGGCAGAAATCAACTCAAATTTGGGAAGGAGACCTCTTTTCTCCATCTTTTTTCACTGTCTACACAGAGGCGCAAGGAAGATCTGCTTCAATAGCTAAACACAGGTTTTTGTGAATACCCCACGATTCAATAGTGGCTTTGTTACGGAACTGGTCTCACACACATCAATCACCTGGCTTCTATGCAATACAGTTCCACCCTGAAAGATGTTACCATCTTACAAACGAGCCCTTCATCAGCCTAAAAAAATAAAACAAGAGCTACTTCTGAGTCTTCCAGTTATGCCAATTGTCCAACTGCACTGAATGCAATGGCTGAACTCAGTGACTTGAATGCAGGATACTACGCAGCCTTTTGCAGTTACTGGGAATGGAAAATCTCTGAATTTAACCTCTGAGAAAACGGATTTGAAACACAGCCATTATCACTGCCTCCTCAGGAACGTGAAAACTTTTCTTGCATCTCCCCACAAGTCTAAGAAACTGAGCATTTAGCTTGTTCTTAGATGTGCAGCTTCCCAACAGGTCATTTGTAAAATGATATATCCTCCACTGCAAAGCAGCTTTGCTACCTTGAAATGGGGCAAGGTAGTTCTGAATGACAAAACTGGTCAATTAGAAAGGTCTAATTTTTCTTTTTTTTTTTTTTTTTTTTATTGTCATTAGTCATTCCTTTAACAGGTTAGAAAACAAAAAACCCAAACCATTTCAGTAACATTTCATCATAGTTTATACAGAACCGGTTGATGCATGGTGTCATCTCACCCAAATCCACAGCCGCTTTCTGTATCGCAGAGTTCAGGAACTACAGTGCACACTGGACTATATTCTTTCACAATGTAAGGCACAACTACATCATTGCAAGTAGTAAACACACACACTGAAAGTAGAACTTAAGAGAATGGAACTTCAAATAAAAAAAAAAACAAAACCAAAACACACTCATGCAAAAAGTCTGCATACACCTACCAAGATGGTATGATCCAGTTCAAAAGAAGTGCAGTACTCTGTAGGTAAAACTGCAACATAAGGCTATTATAATACATTTCGTCTAAATACTGGGTAAGAACTTAAAACTTTTCCCATTTATATTTTATGCAATCATACAGAAATCAAGCTGTATGAGCAATATTCACATCTGCAATAATAAACTGATCATTAAATCTGAGAAAAGAGGCAAACAAGACAATGCAATTTGTGGCACGCATCCATTACAGTACTGAAGAAAAAACAAGACTAAACTAATGGTACATTTGGTGAATGACAAAGCTGCATACAAAATTGCTTACACCCAGCAGATCATAATTATGACAGCTTGTGGTTACGATTTATTTCCTGTCCAGCAGCTGAAGTTTGCAAGATTGGAACTACAGAAGTTAAAAGAACACAGAGTTTACAGTAACTTGAAACAATGAAATACTTTCAAACACATTAAATGAAGAGACTTCTTTCCTTTTTGGTGATAAAGCTTTGCAATTTTGGCATCCACTACAACTTGTACATAACGTGACAGTGAAAAAACCTTATTAAACTTACCTAATGTTTGAATTTCACACTGAGAGGTAGTTTAAATGAAATCTGATGTAATGGCATCAAACGGCGGGGGTTTATGATTTATTTTTGTGTGTGTGTGTGACTTTTTCTTACAAAAGTGATAAATCCTATACAAGCAGCATTTTGGACACATTATTATAAAAAGTTCTGGTATTTGCTAACTCAGCAAGATGTTCTTTCAAACATCCCTTTGATGCCCGGAATGAAGCTATAGTGCGACACAGAGTACTTTGCCATAAAGCAACCAGCAGGAGCCTAGACTTGCCAGCACTGGCCTCTTGACATACAACGATGAACACTCTTTCCCAGCCCTCTTTACCCAAGAAAGGCAGGAAATACAGATGAATGTGGTTTTAGTTTAGGTCACAGGGGGAGGAAAAATTGGAAAACATGCCTACCAGGATTCTGCTTTCATAGTAACATTGGTCTAAAAGGGTTAGCAGGGCTTCAGTGATCTTCAGGTGAGCAGATGCTCCTGTATCTGTTGCACAGTGAGTGCACAGTGTGTGGTGAGCTACAGACAAAAGGCATAGTTTATTACCTTAACTAGTACCTATCCTCTTCATTACTGTGATCTTAAGTGGCATCTAATGTTCTCTCTGAAGATACAAACCTCTTTATTCAGTGCCCCCTTGAAAAAAAAAATGAAAAAATCCCAAACTGAGTTTCTGTGGGAAAGACTTCACTATCCAGTTATTGCTGGGTCTGAAAAGTACACCATTTGGTGCTTTTGGAAAGCCCGTGGTTGGACAACAATTCTAAACTTACCCTAGAAGGGATGCTGAGGTCAAGACTTCAAAAATTAAGAAGTGGACAACTGGCAAAACCCTTGAAAATACACAAGATTTGCATTTTCTCATTTAATAATCTTAAAATGAAGCTCTACAAAGACACTGTACGTGATTACACGGGTTTTGTTGTTACATGTGCTCTCAGATGATGATAATGATTTTCGTACAAAGAAATTACAAGTGCAATTCTCCTTACATAGCAAGGGGCCAAATGTAATACAGTGAGAAGTCCAGCTGAAGACAAACTTTCTGTTCATTGATTACAGCTAACACATGCAATGTAAAGTATGCCATTCCACTTACTGTAGACTATGTTCAGTTAGACAGCAAAAAGTGCATAGTGCAAATGACAGTGTTGTTTCCTAGTCCTCCAAGAATATGAGAGTGGGAGGGGTGGTACTTGGAGGAGTAATTTATCAGTTTCAACATACTCAAACCATTATACCATTCTTCTTGTCATAGTTTATATTCTATTTGAACTTAAGCTCCAGCAGTTTTCTATCTGCCACTACATACTGGTCATAATAAGTTATAAAGTTTTCCAACAAGCGTTTGTTTCCATTTGATGTTTAACTGACATTAAAAAATTCAGAAAAGTACCTGAGTTTTCCAGGTCCCTTCTTTAGGAATGTAACTTCTCTTACATCTAGCATGAAAGAATCAATTGTTCTTGCTCATGTATTACAAATACAGCAAGGTTACTTCATGCTTCTGCTCCCAAAACCATTCTTGCTTCACAAAGAAAGCTTTTCCAGTGAGGATTCACAAATAATCTTAATAGTCCCAAAACCAACAAAAATAGTTATTCATTATTCTTGTGTACCTCCTAGTGCTCCACACATTGGCAACTTGGTTACTTGACGCCTTCCAAATAAAGAGGGCTAAACCTGCACTGTACCCTAGAGCCTTGGACTCTTGTGCCAGAGAGTAAAACCAGCTGAAAAAGGAGATCCTGCTAAACCTCTTTCTTGCCTCTGCTGGAAACTGCAGCTGAAAATTCCTTTTGTCTCTTCATCTGCAGAGAGCGACTTTTC